CAGTCTGCATGCAAATGAATCAGACCTCTCAAACGAATGTGCAGCAACACTCAGTTTCTGGAACAGGTCTAGAGTCCAGAAGTGGACGAACAACCAGACATTTTTGGTGGAGTTTACAGCCAGTGAACGTGAAGAAGAAGAAAAAGGGAGACTATCATGCTTTAAATCCCTAATTGTACCAGGTTGCACAGTACAGCGAGTAGTACTTAATTTAGACGTTTTGATTGTCTCAATTAAACTTTTTTAGAGGTTGCATGGGGTGTTTGGGATTTGCCCTGTTGGTTTTATTGTTCAGGAGAACATTATTGAGTCATCTAAGCCGGGTGGTCAGATGGTAGCCAAAAGGGGTAATATCATATAGATGAGGAAATCCTGGAACAGTTTAACATGTGACGGACGCTGACGAAAACTGAACAGCAATTGCCATGGGAACAGTATCTTTCTGCAGGTGGAAATGCACAGTCACCATTAAAAAGCTGTCTATTGCAGTGAGTTGACGTCTGTGGCTTAGACGTTGTGAACGCTTTTCTTAATGACTGGGTGCCGGGTTAGATCCCACCTGCGGACAGTCTATCTTGCGCTGGTTTCAACGGTGGTACCGAAAACTGGCTGTTCATAGGGAATGGCAAACTATCGAGCAAAAAATTTGCCTGTGAAAAGCACAACAGCCAAAAAAGGATGGAGCTGTTTCTACAATGTCCTGTAAATGATACGCAACTAACTATTGCAGTGAAAACAACTGTGCTGAACACACACATACACATGCAGGCGCGCCAACACTCACGTTTACACACAGGTTAAACTGGTAAACAAAACATTCACATGTGTGCGTGAATTTGTGTGTGTTCCCATTTAGTTAATAATGTTGGCCCTATCTTATAAAACTGAATACAAAGATTCGGACAATTGCTGTGTCAGCATTTCTATATAATGAATCAGAAAACCAACATACCATTTCCCCAGCAACTTATCCTTGTTTCCATTGTTCAGACCAACTACTCAGTTGCCCACAACCATTCACACATTAGGATCTACTTGACATAGTTATAATGCAGTAAGAAAACGAGTATAATGACGTGAGTAAAGTAGTGGCTTAGGAATCCTAGTCAGCAGTGCTTTGTTTTCATCACGTTCTCTTCCTGGAGATCACAGAGAGACCTTGAACTAGTCCCCATGGCACGTGAGGTTACCATTCATTTGATATGTCTGCGTGTTTGTTTCTCATTAATGTCTTTTTTCATTTTCTGTAACATTAGTGTTTAAGAGTACATTCTAAATGGGCTCCAAAATTTGTTGTGTCAAGATTAATTTATTTCAATTCATTAATTAGTTGTTGTTCCTATAATAAGTATTGGCTTCAGTTAATGTCTAGCTTTTTCTTCGTCCTGGTTGCATATTTTCTGTGACCCTTGTTCGTGCATCATTTGATGTTAGCCTCCAGTTTGTATCGCCACCTACCTCTTGCTTGCTTTTCACCTTTATTTTTCATCAGGATTTTTTATTGAAAAAAAAAAAAAAAAAATATATATATATATATATATATATATATATATATATATATATATATATATATATATATATATATATATGATCAATTCAGCATGTACCTTTTACAGAAGTCTGTCTTTCTCCAACCAATTCTTCAGCCCTGTGTGTTTTCATAGCCAATACATCCTCAAAGTCCTGCATCCCCTTTCGTGGAGTTCGGCCTTTGCCCTTTTTTGGACAAACTGCATCCTCCACAAGGCTCTTTACGGACACCATGGCTTTTGATTTGTCTAAAACCTCGCAGTTCTTGCAATGTGGATGCCGTTTACGAGCCAGTTCTCCTTTATGTCTTCTTGACACTAAATTACAAATTATTATATAATGATATAATAAAATATAATGAAATTATTTTATAATTATACAGATTTTAGCAGAATTAATGCCACTGATCTCTCTTTTTTTATTTCTTTAAACTTTCTTTAATTCTTAGTCTCTTCAAAACCCCTATATTTGATCACTTTTCTTTCTAACGATATACGACAAATTTTATTTAAAAGGTCTCAAGAAACTCAAACGGACCATCAGATTGCTTGATCATCATCCATGTCCTTTCATAAATTGAAGGGCTCCGTATGCACAGCATTTGACAATTACAATTTTATCAAAGCAGTCTCAATATTTCTCCAAATCACATTTTAAACAATATTTATTGTCTGGCATTTTTTAGCTTAATCTTATCAATTAACATAAATAATTAGATGCACATAGAATAATCATGTCAACTAAAAAGCAAAGTTCCACTACATTCGACTGCTACGGCCTACATTTGGTTAAAGCATGATTTTTTTTTTTAAATTAAGTGTATTTAATTATTTAATTAATTTTTGCGCTTCCGAAAGATCGAGTCGTTTTTGCAGAGTGGGATAAGAACAATTTCCTTAAAGAATTTCTCAATTGTTGACGCTGAAGATAAAGAAAAAAAAAAGTTTCTTCTTGTCCCCCAAGCTCAAAAAGATTTTTTTTTTTTCCCCTCTCTGGCGCAATTCTATCCTTCCTGTGGTTATAATGTAGATTTTCTCCTGATATGGGTTCAATAGGTCATGGAGCGCAAAATATGTACCAGGAAAAGGTAAAGGAAGTAAAGACCACAAATAAGTGTGTTACCGATCACATCGCTAACTGAGTATAGATTTGTCCCACAAAATGTGAGGTTGTATCGTATATCCAATGCCCTCCAGGACACGGAAACGGACGCTCCATTTTATACTTGCTGTGCATTAGTGTATACAAGGACCCAACATAGTACGCACGTTTCAGTGAATATTCAAAGAAGAACATCCAGGTGCGGGTTCTAAAGCCCCATTGTTAGGAAAACAAGAACATACTGATTGCCTTCAGAAAAGCATGTCGTAAGACTCGACTAATTGGAAGCTTCATTCGAAGTCGGAGTGCTTATGCCTGAGAGGCAAGGAACCAACAGTCTGCATACAGATGTGTTAAATGGATGTGCATGCAACATTCAACTTCTAGAACAGGACTAGAGTCCAGAAGGGGACGAACAACCAGAACTGCCGGCCGGAGTTTATAGCCGCGGAACGCGAAGAAGAAGCAACAGCAGCAGCAGCAGCAGCAGCAGCAGAAGAAGAAGATGAAGAAGAAGAAGAAGAAGAAGAAGAAGAAGAAGAAGAAGAAGAAGAAGAAGAAGAAGAAGAAGAAGAAGAAGAAGAAGAAGAAGAAGAAGAAGAAGAGGAGGAGGAGGAGGAGGAGGAAGAAGGAGGAGGAAAATGAGGAGAAGGAGGAGGAGGATACGGAGAAGGGGAAGAAAGAGAACGATAAATAGAAGGAGATGAAGAAGGAGAAGAAAAAGGGGAAGCAAAAGGAGAAAGAGAAGGAGAAGAAGAAAAACGTCACATTACAAATCGAATATAAGTGTATTATTTATGAATGTGGTTTTATAATTCTTGTTTTTACCATGTTATTCTATCTCGCGCGCTGAGCTAACGATAGAGATAATCCTATCTTTAATCACACGACCGAAAATAACTAACAGATTCACTGAAAATATTCGAAGTTGAAGCAGATAAACACAAGGATTTTTGTTAGCATGGTTATATCAAAGAAGAAGATAACTCCAAAATGTGGCATTAGTAATGGAAGGGAAAGTGCTTAAACATGTCCATAGATTCAAGTATTTCGGGAAATTCATGACATCACATGGACAATGTGTGACAGACATTAGGAGCAGCATTTGCCAAGCAAATGCAGCTTTTCAGAAGGTGAAATGTATCTTATAAAGTAAATTGCTCTCATTAAACAGAAAACAAGTACTGCATGTTACATGGAGCCTCTTTTGATGTTTGACAGTGAATCTTAAAAAGTGTGCAAATAAATTAGGAAGAGTCTGGAGGTAACTGAGATGTTGTTCTTGAGAAGAATGCTGTGAATACCTTGGACTGCCAGAATAACTAAAAATGATAGCCTGGAAATGGCTAATGAAATTAGAACATTATGTACTACAATGAGAAGGAATCAAACAGTTCTGCGGTTAGATGATGAGAAAATTAGTACTGACAAATGCTGGAAAATATCACGACGACTGGAAAGATCACTGGTAGAAGAGGCAGAGGCAGACAAGAAGAAATGATGGCGGATGGCTTGAGACAGTTGCATGGACGAATATCATCAATTGAATTTATCCAGCACATCAAAGACCGAGATCTGTGGAGATGCATGATCGCCTGCGCCATTTGACATCATTATTAGTAGTAGTAGTATTTATTATTATAATTATTATTATTTTTTTAGCAAGGAGAATTGAAACTCTGCAGAGTTATTGTTATAACTATAGTGATCTGTCACCAATGCGGATGTGTTTGGTGGCTCAATGTATTTTATCATTTCAGTTACATCTAGGTTTGAGCTATGAATAGGGTCGTCCCCGGCGATGGTAGAATATTGAGTGTCGTTATAAGGGTTCCTAAATGTGATCAGTTCGTATATTTGTTAGGCAGATGTGTTGATACAGATTAACAACCGGTCGCCCATTGGCTCGCCGGTAGTCGACTTCGTCGCGGGACGGGACAGTATTTGGGTTTTCTTCTTTAATCGCGTCAATCCCGCAGGAGTCCTGCATACAAATAAAAACAGATTTGTAAAAACGGATGTGCTCGGAAAACTCAAGCTATGGAAGAAGATCAAAGTCCAGAACTGGACGAACAACCAAAAGTTTCCGCAACAGTTTATGGTCGGTGAATGCTAAGAAATAGATCAATATACATATTTTGGTCGTTCCCCCATCTTAGCCCCGGTTCTGTCTACATGTGCAGGTGTGATCATGTATAATAAACACATTTTGGTCATTCCCTCATCTTAGCCAAGAGTTCTGTTTACATGTGCATGTGTGATCATGTCTAATAAACACATTTTGGTCGTTACCCCATCTTAGCATACAGTTCTTTCTACATGTGCATGTGTGATCATGCCTAATAAACATGCCGTATCTGCCCCTACAGGTGTTTTCCCTCTACCTGTCCACCTATATCACAGTGGCCATCAGCTTGGATCGATGTGTGGCAATTCTTGATCCCATGAGACGCAATGGTGCTTCCCAGCGAGTTCGCATTATGATTTTATTCGCCTGGATTTTCAGTGCCTTGTTCAGCATTCCTCAGGTAAGTGGGCTTAACGTGCTTTTGTCTGTAGTTGATTATGTTGAATTAACGATAAAAGTAGATTTTGTGGGTAGATCAAACGCCTTTGGATGATGATTAATGAGAGCAGTTTCATACCGAACGGAGCAGTTAAGGGGCTGTAGTGATGTAAAAACCTCGAATGGTAACTAAACATTTGATTTCGCTGTACTTTTGTCAATACCAATTTTGACTGGGCGGACCTAAACCCGAGCAATGTTTTTAGAACTAGTGTTCGAACATACTACTAAGGGGCCGACAGACAAGGATGTTACATTGGTCACATGCAGCTTTGATGTTCACATTAATTTTTGGTGTACATTTTGCCTACCTCATGTAGTTGTCTTAATATCCATTGGACACTTTCAGTTATACCTGTATCATCTTTATCAGTATAAACGCCGTCTTTGCAATTTAGCTATGTAATCTCTCTTTTCTGTTGCTTACGCGTTTCGTAATGCCAGAATACAGGGTTCAATCTCAGCTGCAGGCCTTGTGTTGGTTTCGACAGTGGTATCGAAAAGCCGACGGTCCAGAAAGCAATGGTAAACTACTGGACGTAAATTTGCCTAGAAAAAACACAACAGCCAAAAAATACAAGGGTTGGTTCTGCAACGACATGTAAAGGATACGCAACTAAATCTCTCTTTGCTCAATACGGCTTTGACAATTCTGTTAGTTCTGAATGCATACTCCACCTATTGAGTACAAATATTACCCCACTTTCTCTCCGTAGTTTTCTAGTCATAGACTACTTTAAAATTCATTACTTATTGATATCAGTTAGACTGCACTCATCCCCAGTTACGTCACTGTAAAGTTGTTGAACAGACCTGGATAGGACAGGATACAAGTGCATTAAAACATAAGGAGCAATTTATACAACAAATCTATGTCGCTGGAGGTTAGAAAAAAATTCGTGGACAATTTATAAACAAGCCAAACAATATATAGAGTCATCGGATATTTGGCTGTATACAGCAATCCTTAGAATTCACTGGACAGCCAAACAAGAGCAACTGTTTGGAAAGAGGAGAGGGCTCAAAGGTAACCTGTTCACACACAAAATTAGAAAGGGATAGCAATCATTTTATGGCCATGTTATGACAAGTAGGAAACTCCAACATGTTGGGATCACTGGAAAGATCTGCTGGCAAAACAAGGAGAGGTAGAAAGCGCAAAGCGATTTATGGCAGTCTTTTTTCCTTACACATATAATGATACATCTTGCTGAAGATCACAGACTGATGAGAGGTATGGTCGCCAGTGGACAAAGCCTTTGATGACGACGAACGTCGTTCTCGAAGCAGTAATAATAATAATGATGATGATAATAATAATAATAATAACATTAATAATAATAGTAAAGTATGCAGCTATTAACATGTGGAGTTGTTGACCGATAAGGTGGCAAGGCATGAAAAAAATATCTTGGGTCTGGCTGGACATAAGAGCTTCCCTGAACCGTGCCGTCTTCTCATTATAGGTTTCTTGAGTTAGATATAGGCTTCCGCTGTTGTCTTTGAAACTATGTTTGTGTCAGGCCCTAGTCTCCATTCTCCACAAGCCACCTTACTGTACTGACTCATGGTCAGAATTGGCCAGACAGGGCAGATTAAACTCAATCTTAGAGCGTCTGCGACAAAGAACGAGATAAATCTCAATGCTATAGAAAATGTCTTCAGAAAGTTTATAATAACATTGTAAAATGTATCTAGATCTAATAGATTTCCGCGTCTCAATTACTAGCACTTTTACGTGATCCAGGTTAATCATCAGTTTCAAACTGCCCCATTTCCCCAGTGAAGCTGAGGTCGACGGTGGCTAAACGCTTGCATATTCCAACGAAGATCTTGGGTTGAAATTCGTTTGCTGAAATTCCATGATTTCGTTTTCTCAATAATTGGGGCGACCTAGGGTTCGCTTGGAAGACAACATCCGACAGTCCCTAACTGATAGAGGACTGAAATAGAACAAAGCCAGAAAAAAAAAATGCTGAGAGAGAATGTCTGGCGATCTCTCTGGGAAACTTCTACACACCAAGGCAGAAGAGGAGCGACTAAGTAAAGTAAGTTTTTATAATTGACAGGACTCCTATGCTGACCCAGTCTTAAATGGACACCCTAAAATGTCATGGGTAGTAACAACGGCATTTATGAGCAGCAGAATCATAATATCAACATCACGGAACGTCTTCCCAAAAGTGACTGTCTCTGCCTTACACTGACTGGCATAGCCAAGAACGGAAAGAATTTAAACATCCATTATCTGGACTTTTAACTGGCTTCCTGGCCTTCTGTCATGTTTTTAATCGTTAATCTATCTTTGTTTCATGTCCCCTTCAGTCGCTCTCTCTCTCTCTCTCTCTCTCTCGCTCTCTCTCTCTCTCTCTCTCTCTCTCTCTCTCTCTCTCTCTCGCCTTCTCTCGCTCTCTCACTTGGTAGCAGAAACAGGTGGCCAGCACGTTCGTATCGTATCTGCCCTTAATGTTTCGTTGTTCTTAATATTCACTAGCAGTTTGAATACTATGTGAATTGTCTGGTCACCGCCGTACAATCTATCTCTAAAGGACAAGTCAGAACAATCAAGAAGCCATCTGTCCCACACAGCAGAACTTTCAAATTATCGACCATTCAGATTGGAAATTGAGTTCCTCAGCACGTGGGTCCACCTTGAACTTGGGGATTTAATGTCCGAGCTGTCCATCTCCCACGTAGGCTGTGGGATTATGTGGCAAGTTCAGCTTTAATATAGCAGCCATTTCTCCACGTAAAACACACACACACACACACACCAATTTAATATATATAATTGTGCTCGCTAGTGTAATAGTGTGTGTTTTTGTATGTGTAAATGTCTGTCTGTCTGTCTGTCTGTCTGTCTGTCTGTCTGTCTGTCTGTCTGTCTGTCTGTCTGTCTGTCTGTCTGTCTGTCTGTCTGTCTGTCTGTCTGTCTGTCTGTCTGTCTGTCTGTCTGTCTGTCTGTCTGTCTGTCTGTCTGTCTGTCTGTGTTTGTATTAGGGCTGTACCGAATATTCGCTTCGTATTCGCTTCGGGGCCGAATAGTGTACCTAATAACTATTCGATATTCGGTCGAATAGTTGCGGTCGGGCCGAATACGAATAGTGGTTACCTTACACCCGTTTCTGGACTGGTAGAAAATAAAAATATCACGATTTCCCACCTTGGTCCACACTGGCAAGCGTTATCTTTGTGCACTACCTACGAGCGTACAAAGTGAACGTTTGTTTAGAACAGCTGGAAATACCTTAAGTGAGACAAGAAGCTGCCTTAATGCCGAGAACATAAAACGATTTTTTTTTTTTTTTGGAAAGCTTATGCCGCTTTCATGGATTAACTAAGCTGTCAGTGACCATTTACAAGTTTAGTTACTTGTTATAAAACTAAAAATACTTTCATTCCTATGTATTAGTTACCACAGACTGACTGAGTGAAGGATGCAACACATGAAATGTTTTTAAATGTTTACTATTCTGTACTATATTTTGTGAAGTAAAATTTCAGCGTACATTTGACATTATGGATGTTTTCTTTTTAGATCTATTTCATACACAAAAGTGAAAGAATGGGCCTCAGTTTGAAAAGTGGGAAGACAGAAGTAATGGTGGTATCAAAGAAAATAATTATTCCTAAATGTGTAATAAAAGTCAATGGTTTTATTTTGGGACAAGTACAGCAATTTAAGTATCTGGGCACATGGATAACATCAGATGAAAAAGGCATTACTGAAATAAGAAACATAATAGGAGAGGCAAAAACTGCATTTTATAAAATGAAGAACATATTATGCAGTATATCTTTGTCATTGAAGGTTAGAAAAAGAATTTTTGCTTGCTACATACATCTAGTCTTAACAAATGGCTGTAAGTCCTGGACAATCGGTGGGCAGGCCAAACAATTTCTTGAGGCCTCAGAGATGTGGGTTTACAAAACAATGCTTAAAATACCTCGGACAGCGAAAAAAAAAAAAAAAAAAAGAAACAAAAAATTTTGATAGAGGCGGGGGCCCGAAGACAACTACTCACAGACATCAGAAGAGACAGTCATAATTTTTCGGCCAGTTTATAAGATGAGGAAAAATGGAACATTTTGTGGCCACTGGAAAGATATGTGGAAGGAAGGATAGAGGAAGACAATGAGAAAAGATGTTTGACAGTCTAGTTGCATGGCATGGGGGTGTGTCAGCACACGAAAAAATGCATGCTGCAGGAGATCTCAGATTGTGGCGAGGCATAATCGCCTATGCCAGTTGGCAAAGCACCTGATGATGATGATTCACTATTCGTATTCGGCAGAATAGTTGGTCCAGCTATTAGTTTTCGGCAAAATAGTGAAAATCACTATTCGGTACAGCCCTAATTTGTATGTCTGTATGCATGTGTGTATGTGTTTGTTTGCATGTCTGTCTGTCTGTCTGTCTGTCTGTCTGTCTGTCTGTCTGTCTGTCTGTCTGTCTGTCTGTCTGTCTGTCTGTCTGTCTGTCTGTCTGTCTGTCTGTCTGCATTCTAAATATACCTGCAGCGCAAGTCACTGAGTGAATCCTCTGGAGTTGCTAGCGCCCGATCCCCATGCACACAGACCAGAAAAGTATGTGTTAGCACATTATAACTGTTATAAACGTTAAGTGATGCATTTGTGATTAATTTATATTGTAGTGACATCTGAAAGATAGCTCAAAGCGCCCACCGAGTTTGAAATCACCTCCAGGTGGAAGTTCCAGAATAGAAAAATCAAGAAAGACAAAGGACATGCAACAGGGTTCAGATCTACCCCTGCAGTTGCAGCCGGTAGTCGGAATTGGGAGCCTCCGATGACTTAAGCGTTGCGAGCGCGCTTCGTAATGTCGGGGTGCTGAGTTCGATCCCAGCTGCCGACCTTGCGCCTTGCGTTGGTTTCGACAGTGGTATAGAGAAGCAGACCGTCCAGGTAGCAATGGCAAACTACTGGACGTGAATTTGCTTTAAAAAAACTACAACAGCCAACACATGGTGGTGTTGGTTCTCCAATGTCTTGTAAAGGATACACAACTAACTTACATAGACGTCCTTAACTTCTGCAATCCACTGGATCCCCAGGTCCGTCTCTTCTTGTGTTGTGATTCTTTGTCGCTTTATTTAAGAATGTCTTGACCTTGCATCGCTTTGCAGCCTGGCGGATGAGGCTGAGTTAGAACTTGTTCTGTTTGTACGTCCTAATAATATTGCATTACAGCTGTGCGTCCTGGTCATTGGTAAATCAAATCATATCAGCATAAGTTTATGATTGGCTACACCCTGGACTGGATGTGTTCCACAGAGGAATGCCGCTTTTTCTGTCTCATTCTGCTAATAGTATTAGACAGAAAATATTATAATATTTTATAATAATAATAATAATTTTAAAAATATAATAATATAATTCAATAATAATAATATTTATTTATAATAATATATATGCTAATAGTGTCCAGAAAGCAATGGCAAACTACTGGACGTAAATTTGCCTAGAAAAACCACACAACAGCCAGGGGCTGTTGGGGTTTGTTCTGCAACGTCCTGAAAATGATACGCAACTAACCTAACTGCTAATAGTAGATATTACACACACAAATAACACTAACCAAGAATTTGTTTTCGAAGGCAGGAGGAGCACACTCAGACTTAAATGTTGTAAATATTTCTCACTTCTTGTTTGTTTTATTATTGGGTGGAAGAGCAAAGTTCGAAAGTTTACGAGAGCAACAAGTATTCTGTTATTTATAATTACTAGACTGCTAAGAATATACCGCGAGTTGCTTGTAATACTTCCCATTTATACAAGGAGAGCTACAACAAAGACTGATTTGTAAATGAGTAACGTATTCTTTATCATGTCACAAGGCGTCAATGTTAACGTATTGGTCTATTTTTTTAATGTGCAGTAAACAAGGCTGACCAAGGGGGAAAAGAGAGAGAGAGAGAGAGAGAGAGAGAGAGAGAGAGAGAGAGAGAGAGAGAGAGGGAGGGAGAGAAAGAGAGGGGGGGGATAGATCATGCTGTATGGGCCAACATATTGTTTCTGCAAGGCTGCCCAGGCTATAGAGCTATTGAGTCTCGCTAGGTACACTCAATGCCTCCCTATAATTAGTTGCTTATCCTTTACAGGACGTTGCAGAACCAACCCCAGCATTTTGGGCTGTTGTGGTTGTTCAAGCAAAACTTTACGTTCAGTAGTTTACCGTTGCCCTTGAACGATCAGCTCTCGGTATTACTGTCGAAATCAACAAATCACCCGCAGCTGGGATCGAACCCGGCACCCCGGCATTACGAAGTGCGTTCGCAACTCCTAAGTCACAGACGCCGGCATATATATATATATATATATATATATATATATATATATATATATATATATATATATATATATATATACATATATATATATATATATTTGTGTTGTGTGCAATATATGGGTATATGAATAGGGAAGTGCAGTAATGAACGTAAAACTTGGTGCGGTGCAGTACAGACTTGAACGGGATGTAAGAGAGAGAGAGAGAGAGAGAGAGAGAGAGAGAGAGAGAGAGAGAGAGAGAGAGAGAGAGAGAGAGAGAGAGAGAGAGAGAGACCGTTAACTTTACGACCCTGTGGTGGAAGGCATGTTCTAATCTGGATGGTTCCAGACTAGTCCTGCATACCTGTGTGTTACGCTGACGTTAGGTATCCAGGTTGTCTGTGAGAGTTGCTACAGTGGCTGGGCCAGCGTGACGGAATCTCGTGAGATGAGATCAGGAGATCTCAAGTACGTGTCAGGCCGCAGACGGAAGGTCTGGAAAATCTTCACAAGATATTGTGCATCGGCCTGAATGATCTTTCTAGTGACAGTGTAATCAAGTGATGGGTTTCATAGAGACAGTCACGTAATCACGAGCAGTGGGTTTGCACGAGCAGGTAATGTTTGCTCGTAGTTAACCACGGAACAGGGTGGCAGTAGAAGTTGTCCAGAGCGTCCTGAGTGTGTGTTGCCCTGCTAGTAAGAATGACTGTGGCGGTATAAAAATGCATGTCTCGTGATGCCTTTCATTGTCTTGGTGTTGAAATACATTAAATCTGCTTTGACGTTCACCATGTATCTGGCGTCCTTTATTGCTATTGGACTGGATTGGTGATTTGTAACTGTGACACTATTGAGCATACCTAGATACTTGGCAAGTGTGCGGTGTATCAAGCGAACATCGCACGCGGCAATATATATATATATATGTATATAGTACAATATAACACTATTGTCCAGGAAGACAGAGAAGTGTGGAATAGGTACCAGTCTAAGGTTTACTTATTTATATTAAACGGGAATGTCCGTATACTGCTATCAATAGTATTACTGTTAAAATTGCTTGGGCATCCAACGAAACGGAGTCGATGCAATCTTTCACATCCGAGTATCTCTCCTACCGACAAGCCTGGGATCAATGTAGCCAGACTTTGAAATCATGTGTCCAGATCTTGCTGGAGACTCTTCAAGTTTCACTGTGCGTTCAGTGTCTGACGTGTCTGGCTAAATGTTCTTGATAAGCCCGTCTTTATCAGATAATTTGAATATCATCTCTCTTGTGGCGTCAACAGATACTAAAATAAGAAACACTTACAAAAGTGGAAGATTTATAGGGAGTTGGTTTGTATAAGCCAAGTACTAAAAAGTGATAACCGCAATTCGTGTAGGACTACGGCAGTAGAGGAGCCGCATTAGGGTTCGATCGATCGATAGGCTTGTCTTCTCCTGGCTGCTACCTTAAAGTTTATCACGCTGAGATTTCAAAAAAAAAAACAAAAAAAAAAAACTCACTCTGGATGTCAGGGCAGATCCTAGATACTCAGTTCAATGTTTAAAAGAAGTTATCATTAGGGCATGCCATCTGTAACGGCTAGATCTATTGTAGCCTTCGGTCCAGTGCCAGAAATGAAGATGCATTAGGGTAGTAACTAGCACGTGTGTGTCTATAGCACTGTGGCGCAGCGGCGGTATCACAAAGAAAATATGGACTCAGGCATCTCAATGTTTAAGTACCTAGTAATCATATTAATTAGAATTATTATTAATATGAACGAAATGGAAAATAAGTATAATAATAATGTGTTTGAAATAATGTCTAACACATAAAAAGAAACTAAAAATTAGAATGTCTGTATATGCTTATGTAGGAAAAGGAGTTAATACCAGGGGTTAAATGAAGAACGTGCACATTCAGACCAGCATCATTGCACGGATTTTTTCACACATTTTCTAAGGTGGTTAAGGCACAGAGGTGCAGGGGCCTAAACTCTAGGCCCCCCTCCCCCACCGCTGTGGTCATGTGTTCGAATCATCTTGAGCGGTTCGTGAAAAAATATAGCTGGCTTATGCTCCCAGACTGACCCAGTCACGAAATATAGAAAGTATTCTTGGAGGCAAAATCTTTAGCGTGGTACTAAACTACTTTACCGATCGAAAAGTGAATGGTTGATAAAAATATATCCTATAGGTCTCTTGGAGTGAAAAAAAAAAAAAAATTGCAATTTCTTCCCTTTACTTTTTTACATAAAAAAAAAAAAAAAGAATAGATACTGTTTTCCCTCAGGAAATATGACCCAGCGCCCCCCCCCCCCCCCCAAAAAAAAAGCAAAAAAATTATTTCAATTTTGATTGTCATATAAACCCCAGCATATCGAATATAACTTCGTTGTTGGGGTCGTTAGCCTATAGTATGGATTGTTTTTGTCAGTCAAAGCCTGTCAAGGGCGTACTTGATTCTGTCAATCATCACTTACGTAGCCGTCCCTCTTCTACCTTCTCTATCAGCAGTGTTTCCCCCAGCTTTGTTCTATTCGAGTTCTCAGTCAGAGACTGTCGGATGTTGTCTCCCCAGCAACGCCTGGAGAGAATGAGGCAGCTGGGTGTAACCAGAGGGTCAAGCTGGCTCACTACACTCAGAGGAAAGGCAAGACGGACATATAACCAGATTATGACCGGTACCATCAGTTTTGGAACTCTGCGCTGGCTGCTGAAGATGAGGAGAGAGCACGCATGAGAATGAGTACTGTGATGTCAATTTTTGACTCCACTCACATCAGCTTCCCAGCGAACCCTGGGTCGCCCTGGAAATCTGGTTTCCCAGTTCTCGGCCTCCCTTGCCTGCCGTGATGGAGGATTCTCCTTCATTCCGCATGCCTGCCTGTCCAAACCATTGTAACTACGACTGATCCAATCGAGTTTGAAGGGTCTGAGTTTCAAGGTCATAATGTATTGTCTAAATGCGAACCTTTTTCTCACATGGACCATTATTCTCATATAACTCATCTCTGAAGACTTAAGATGGCTTCTGTGAGCTGTGTCGATTGCCCAAGATTAACACTTATATGTCAGGACTAGCACACAGATGGAGCGGCGTACAGCCACTTTTGTCCTCTTGTTCATTTCTCTTTGTGTATGTGCGTGTGCGTGTATGTGTGTCTGTGTGTGAATGCTACCAATCAATATATATATATATATATATATATATATATATATATATATATATATATATATATATATATATATATATATATATATAAAGAGGTAGAGAGAGAGAGAGAGAAAGAGAGAGAGAGAGAGAGAAAAAAAAAGAGAAAGAGAGAGGCTCCATCCATGGTGCGTTGCTAAATGTGTCAAACGTTTGTGTGTGTGTATGTTTAGGAGGTCTCTGTAGTGAAGTAATCAAGCGTTTGCCTCGCGCTCTGAAGGTCGTGGGGTTGTTTCAGGACGTGTCGCTCAGTTTTTTTACGCTGATCCCTGGGATCGTCACTGAAGTTTCGGAGTTCGCACCTTGGGTTACGCTTTGGGCAAACGAGTAACCGTTGTACGATGGAAGACCTTACTATATAGGATAACCACGTACAACGATCTTCTCGACTTCAACAGTAACTTAACTGTTTCTTTTGCTTCCCTCTGCCTCTTTTCTCCTCCAAATTTCCCGTTGTCATGACATACCTCAGATAGACCCTTCCCATGACGTGCTCAGAGAAGATGGACAGTCTCGATCTGACACAAGCATGTGCCTTAGATTGCCTGTTAACTTATCGATTCATTATTATTCTGGTCCTCGATTTTCTGACAGCCGTGACCATTAACACTCGATATTTTGATGATGATGACGTTCAACCCCACCAGGACATCACACCGAGCATTAAACACCTGGTGACACAAAGTGCCACCATTTGGATGAGGATCATTCAAGGACTATCTCAGTAAAAAAAAAAAAAAAACACGTTCGACCCATAAAACAGGACCCTCTGCAACAGCCAGGATGGGGTTTGAAACAGCAAAAAAATTACGTTTGACATTGGGACACAGTAAATAAACAATACTACTAGATATTATTGTGGAATTTGTCTGATGTTAATGTTTAACTATTTTCTCCATCTGTCCCACTCTCCCTCTGTCTCTCTTTCCCTTTTCGTTTAGCTATTGCATGACACGGTAGCACAATACCTTATCTTATATATATGTGTATATATATATATATATATATATATATATATATATATATATATATATATATATATATATATTTGCAGTAGTGTGATAAAAACCATTCCCAAGCACTACGAACATCAGAAATCCCTGCAAAGTGTTTAACTATTTAAAAAAAAAATGTTATGCGGTTACTAAGAAACTGTCTAGTCCACTCCTGAAGAGGCTATGGTGTGTTTCGTGTACAGCAAAGCCATGCAGACATGATTATATGAAAAGACGCTACAAGCTTTCCCCCAAAATTCGGATTAAATCTAACTACTGTATAAGTTTCTTTTCAGCTGGTGGCTTGTTGGAACGTGCTTAAACTCTTGTGGCTGCGAAAACTACAGATACCCAAGCCAAACCCTTATAAAATACATGACGTGTCTCATTTCTTTATAGCTTTTCATCTTCATGTTCTATTTTGCGATATGTTTTATGGCTTACTTTTACTTACTGCCCAGCGTTTGTGAGCTTTCGTGGTGCAGTGGCCAGTACGTTTGCATTTGTCACGGCAGTCATACATTCGAATCCCCATTTAGGAGGGATTTTAACGAGACATTTATTGATCTGGTTTCCACATCGATCCAACTGAAAACAGGTAATAGGAATGCTGTCTGATTGGTTAGTTGTTTGGTTTGTTGGCTGACTGGTCAGTTTGGTTGACTAATTGTTTGGTTGACTGACTGGTTGATTGTTTGGGCGGTTGACTGATTGGTCTGTTGATTGTTTAGGTTGGCTGATTGGTGGTTGGACTAGTTTTGGTTGCTTGACTGATATGTTGGTTAACTAACTAGGTAATTGTTTGGGTGGTTGAGTTGTTAATTGAATTACTAGTAGACTGGCTAATTGATTGATTGATCGGTTGGTTTACTGTCACCAACATAGCTAGCGCGCCGGATAACCGAAGTATATTAAGGACGGGAATCGTGAAACAGATATTCTGTCTCCAACTGTTATTCTGTAATTCTCTCTTCCCTCCCCACCCCACACCTTATAACCAGAATTACAACATAGCCAAGGCAGCTGATCCTTTTTTTTTAAATTCCAATAAGTGGTTTGATCAGCAGATGATATCAGTATGATATATTTACCGTGCTCTATTGTTGGAAAAGCCTCTAAAAAACACATTTACAAAATAAAGTTCATTGTGAAAATTAGAAGCTTTGTATGTGCCAGATTTCAGCATTACTCATTTTATCAACCCAGACCAAAGCTTACCGCGAGTCCATTAAACATAGGGTCCTCATATATATATATATATATATATATATATATATATATATATATATATATATATATATATATATATATATATATATATATATATATATATATATATATATATATATATGAGGGTATGTCAATAAACGAGTCACAAATAGTTGTTTAAAAAAAGAAAACTAAAGTCGATAACAACCTGAAAACCGTTTATTGTTACACATACCATCTCTTTATTGTTTAACATAATTTATACCAACATTGATGCACTTGTCTCATCGTTTTATTAATTCTCCCAAACCTGCTGCATATAACAGTGTGGTCTGTTTTCTAAGCCACATTTTCACTTAACATTTAGCTTTTGCGTCATTATAAGATGTCTCCCGCCAAGGTGGGTTTCCAGAGCATTATGTTGTATTCCTAACAATGTGAGCGCTCTATTGCAGCTGCTACAGCGTCAACCGTTACTAACCTGTCACTCCTTATCAGCTCCTCAACCCGCTGCATGGATGAGTCTGTTGCAATCTCAACAGGACGACTAGATTGGACTTCGTCAACAACGTAGAGCATTCTTGAGAAAAATTCTTTACACAGCTATGCACCTCTTTAGGGGATAAACATTAGTCAGCATAAACAAGAAGCATTTCCTAATGAATGTCTTTTTTAGGCAGCCATTGTGCCTCCCCCAACCACAAATTCACATCAGGACCTTGTTATTTGAGAGAACACTCTGTAAGTACAGTAGCCATTTTGTTTCTGCGATGCGCATGCGCAAGCTACACTTAGCGTCACCTAACGAACGGAGACATAGAGTTTGATGTTGCTGTCACCTAATGACACCTCTAGAAACCACGAACTTCCTTTTCCTGCCATTCCATAACTATTTGTGATTTACTTATTGACTTTCCCTCGTACACACACACACACACACACACACACACATACACATACACACACACGCAAGCACATATATGTACAGTATGTGGGTTTTATCAAATAAGGCTAGGCATCCAGTTGATTACCATGATAGAAACACGGTTTTGCTGATCTTGTAAGGATTCCCAGCGAGGTACGTAATGGTATACTAAGTACTGAACGTGACCCAGAACTTCCAGTTCTACCCCTTTCAAATGATTTGATTCATATATAAGTGCTTGTGGGTGCTCTTTTGCTCTTTCAAGTAAATGAAACATGACGTTGAGGAATCTCGAGAGATTCCAAAATAACACGTATTAATTTCATCAACGTTTAGTAGGTGTGGCTTCAGACAACATATACCATAGCAAGAATGGGTTTCCCTTCCAACCTGGAGCGACGACTCAGAGAAAACATGAGAAATAGGAGGGAGGTTATGAAGGAGATGGTGGGACACAGTCTTCGTACAGTCAACCACAGTAAGAAAATTAGTATCACTTCCGACGCATACCGCAGCAAGCAAAGTAAGGGTCTCCCTTCCAATGCAAACAGTAAGTAAAGTAAGGGTCTCCCTTCCAATGCAAACAGTAAGTAAAGTAAGGGTCTCCCTTCCAATGCAAACAGTAAGTAAAGTAAGGGTCTCCCTTCCAATGCAAACAGTAAACAAAGTAGGGGTCCCCCTTCCAATGCAAATAATAGGTAAAGTAAAAGTCTTACCCCCCCCCCCCCAGATTATTAATGCAAATAAAAAGTAAAGTAAAAGTCTTACTTACCCCCCCCCCCCCGGTACAGACAATAAGTAAAGTAATGGTCTCCGTTCCAATGCAAACAATAAATAAAGTAAAAGCCCCACACCCCCCCCCCC